GATGTAAATAGAAAGAGAATTTTCAAAGTGAGAGCTAAAAGATCGACCGATAGAAAAGGTTTCAAGGAGATAAGAAAGAGGGAAATGTATTGAAGGGTAGGAGAGGAGAAAGAAGAGAGAGAAAGAATGACGTTAAAAAGAGAGAGAGAGAGAGAGAAGAGAGAGAAAAATAGAGAAAAGAGAAAGAAATGTAAATAAGAAAAAATCTGAGAGAGAGCCAAAAGATCGAGGAAGAGAAAGGGAGGAAGAGATAAAAAAAGGGAAAGAAGAAGAAAGGGTAGGAAGAGAGAAAGAAGAGAGAGAGAGAAAAATATTTTGAAAAAGAGAGAGAGAGAGAGAGAGAGAGGAGATTTTCTCAGAAGATTCTTTAGAAAGAGAAATGAAGAGAAATAAGAATAAATGAAGAGAAAGAAAAAAAATAAAAAATGGAAAAAAGAGAAAGAAAAAGAAAAAGAGAAAAGAAAAAAAAAAAAAGAAAAAGAAATAAAAAGAGAGAGAGAAAGAGAGAAAGAAGGGAAAAAAGAAAAAAGAAAAGAGAAAAAAAAAAGATAGAAAGGAGAAAAGAAAATTAGAGGAATGGAGAGAGAGAAAGAGAGAGAGAGAAGAAAGAGAGAAAGAAGAGAGAAGAGAAAAAAAGAAAGAAAATGTTTTCAAATAGAAAGAGAATCTGAGAGAGCTAAAAAAAAAAACGAAAGATAGAAAGGTTTTGAAGGAGATAATAAGGAGGAAATGTAAGAAGGGTAGGAAGGGAAAAAGAAGAGAGAAAGAAATGAGACGTTAGAAAGAGAGAGAGAGAAAGAGAGAGAGAGAGAGAAAGATATTTTCTCCTTTTCATGTAAATAGAAAGAGAATAATGACTGAGAGAGAAAAAAATGACATGAAAAAAGAAAGAAGAGATAAAAAAGGGAAATGATTGAAGGGTAGGAAGGAGAAAGAAGAGAGAAAGGAATGGAAGAGTTATAAAAAGAGAGAGAGAGAGAGAGAGAGAGAGAGGATATTTTTTCAAATACAGACAGGATGAAAATAGAAAGAGAAAGACTGAATGAGAGCTAAAAAGATCGAAAATTTGGGAGAAAGAGAGAAATAAGGAGGGAATGAAAAAAGGGAAGGAAGGAGAAAGAAGAGAGAGAAGGAATGGACGTTATGAAAGAGAGAGAGAGAGAGAGAGAGAGAGAGGATATTTTTTCCTTTTCATGTAAATAGAAAGAGAAAGAAGAGAGCCAAAAAAAAGAGAAAGAAAGAAAGGTTTAAAGAGAAAGAAGAGGGAGGAAATGAATTATTGAAGAGGGAGGAAAAGAAGAAAGAAGAGAGAGAAGGAATGGAAAAGAAAAGAGAGAGAGAGAGAGAGAGAGAGAGAAGATAAAGAAAGTAAAAGAAAATAGAGAGAAACTGAGAAAAAAGATGGGACCGATAGAAAGAAAGATGAGATAATAAGGAGGGAAAAGAGAAAAAAAGGAAGGAAGGGAGAAAGAAGAGAGAAAGGAAAAAAAGAAAAAGAGAAAGAGAGAAGAGAGAAAGAAAGAGAAAAGGAAGAAAAAGAAGAAATAGAAAGAGAAAAAGACTGAAGAGAAAGAAAGAAAAAGAAAAGTCAGAAAGAAGAGAGAGAATAAGGAGGAAAAGAAAGAGAAAAGAGAAAGAGAGAAAAGAAGAAAAAAAAGATAAAAAGAGAGAGAGAAAGAAAGAAAAGGAAAAGAAAGAAAAAGAAAAAAAAAGAGAAGAAAGAAAGAGAGAGGAAAGAAAGAAGAATAGAAAAAATAAAAGAAAGAAAGAGAGGAGAAAGAAAAAGAGAAAGAAGGAAGGAAGAGAGAAAGAAGAAAGAAAGAGAAAAGAAAATAAAAAAAGAGAGAGAGAGGAGAGAGAGAGAGAGAAAGAGAGAGAAGAAAGAAAGAGAAAAGAAGAGGAGAGAGAAGAAGAGAGAGAAGACCGAAAGAAAGGTTTCAAGAGATAATAAGAGAGGGAAATGAAAAGAAGGGGAGAGGAAATGAAGAGAAAGAAGAGAGAGAAAAGGAAAAAGAAAAAGAAAGAAAAGAGAGAGAGAGAGAGAGAGAGAGAAGAATATTTTCCAAAGAATGAAAGATAGAAAGAGAAAAAGACTGAGAGCTAAAAAGAAGAGACCGATAGAAAGAAAGAGAGAGATAATAAGGAGGGAATGAAAGATAAAAAAAGGAAGAGAGAAAGAAGAGAGAGAGAGGAAAGAGAAAAAAAGAAAGAGAGAGAGAGAGAGAGAGAAAGAATATTTTCTCCTTTTCAGTAAATAAAAAGAGAATCTGACTGAGAGCTAAAAAGATAGACCGATAGAAAGGAGAAAGATAAAAAGGAGGAAAAATTGAAGGGTATTTAAGGAGAAAGAAGAAGAGAGAGAAGGAAAGGAAAGTTAAAAAGAGAGAGAGAGAGAGAGAGAGAGAGAGTGGATATTTTCTCCTTTTCATGTAAAAGAAAGAGAATAACTGAGAGCTAAAAAGATCGAAACAGAAAGGGTTTCAAGAAGAAGAAAAAGGAGGGAATGAAAAGAAAGGGGAAGGAGAAAAAGAGAGAAGAAAAAGGAAAGAAAAAGAAGAGAGAGAGAGAGAGAGAGAGAGAGAGAGAGAAATATTTTCTTTTCATGAGAAAATAAAGAAGAGAATCTGACTGAGAGCCAAAAAGAGGAAAGATAGAAAAGAAGAGGAAGAGAAAAAGAGAAAAAAGAGAGAGAAGGGAGGAAAGAAGAGAAAGAAAGAGAGAGAAGGAAGAAAAGGACGAAAAAAAAAAGAGAGAGAGAGAGAGAGAGAGAGAGGAAGATATTTTCTCCTTTTCATGAAATAGAAAGAGAATCAAAGAGAAAAAAAGATCGACCGATAGAAAGAAAGAATGAGAAAAAGGAGGAAAGAATTGAAGGGTAGGAAGGGAGAAAGAAGAGAGAGAGGAATGGAAGAAAAAAAGAGAGAGAGAGAGAGAGAGAGAGAAAAGAAGAAAAAAGAAAGAAGAAATAGAAAGAGAAAAGAGAGAGAGAAAAAAAAGAGAAGAAAATAGAAAGAAGAGGAGAGAAGAAAAAAGGAAATAATTCAAGAAAGAGAAAAGAAGGAGGAAAGGAGAAAGAAGAGAGAGAAGGAAAGAGAAGAAAAAAGAGAAGAGAGAGAGAGAGAGAGAGAGAAGGATAAAAAAAGAAAGAAAATGAAAATAGAAAGAGAATCTGAAAGAGAGAAAAAAAAGAAAGATAAAAGAAAGAAAGAGAAATAAAAAAAAAAGGAAAAAAAAGAGAAGGGAGAAAAGAGAGAAAGAAGAGAGAAAAAAAAGAGAGAGAAAAGAGAGAGAGAGAGAGAAAAAGAGAGGGAGGAGAAAAGATTTTTTCCTTTTTTGTAAATAGAAAGAGAAAAGAGAAAAGAAGAGCTAAAAAGATCGACCGATAGAAAGGTTTCAAGATAAAAGGAGGGAATGAAAAGAAGGGTAGGAAGGGAGAAAGAAGAGAGAGAAGGAAAAACGTTAAAAAAAGAGAGAGAGAGAGAGAGAGAAGAGAGAGAGAGAAATATTTTCTCCTTTTCATGGAATAGAAAGAGAATCTGAAGAGCTAAAAAAAATCGAACCGATAGAAAGGTTTCAATTCTAATAAGGAGGGAAAAGAAAGAAGGGTAGGAAAGAGAGAAAAAGAGAGAGAAGGAATTGGAAAAAAGAAAGAGAGAGAGAGAGAGAGAGAGAGAGAGTGGATATTTTCCCTTTTCATGTAAATAGAAAGAGAATCTGAAAGAGAGAAAAGAGAGACCGATAGAAAGGTTTCAAGAGGAAAAAGAAGAGAGAGGAAATTGAAGGGTAGGAAAAGGAGAAAGAAGAGAGAGAAGGAATGGAGAAAGAAGAAAAAGAGAGAGAGAGAGAGAGAAAGAGAGAGAGAGAGATAAATTTTTCTTTTCAAGAAAATAAGAAAGAAAATTGACTGAGAGAAAAAAAGATCGACCGAAAGAAAGGTTTCAAGAGATAAAGAAGGAGGGAAAAAAAAGAAAGAAGGGTAGGAAGGGAAAAAGAAGAGAGAGAAGGAAATGGACGAAAAAAGAAGAAAAAGAGAGAGAGAGAGAGAGAGAGAGAGAAAAGAAAAAAAAAAATGTAAATAGAAAGAGAATCTTGACTGAGAGCTAAAAAAGACGAGATAGAAAGGTTTCAAGAAGATTGATAAGGGAGGGAAATGAAAGAAGAAGGGCAGGAAGGAGAAAGAAGAGAGAGAAGGGAATGGAAAAAGAAAGAAAGAAAGAGAGAGAGAGAGAGAGAGAGAAGATATATTTTTCTCTTAAGAAAATAGAAAGAGAAAGAACTGAGAGGAAAAAAAAAAAGAAAGATAGAAAGGTTTCAAGGAGATAATAAGGAGGAAAAGAGAAAAGGGAAGGAAGGGAGAAAGAAGAGAGAGAAGGAAATGAGAAAGAGAGAAAGAGAGAGAGAGAGAAGAGAGAGGAGAGAAAAGATATTTTCCTCCTTTCATGTAAATAGAAAGAGAATCTGACTGAGAGCTAAAAAGATCGTCCGATAGAAAGGTTTCAAGAGATAATAAGGGAGGAAAGGAAAAAAAGGGGGAGGAAGGAGAAAGAAGAGAGAGAGAAAAGGAATGGAAAAGAAAGAAAGAGAGAGAGAGAGAGAGAGAGAAAAAAAGATATTTTTAAATGAGAAATAGAAAAGAGAATTGAAAATAGAGCCAAAAAGAAGACCGATAGAAAGGTTTCAATGAGAAAGAAAAAAGGGAAAAGAATTGAAAGGTAAGAAGGAGAAAGAAGAGAGAGAAGGAAAGGACGAAAAAAAAAAGAGAGAGAGAGAGAGAGAGAGAGAGAAAGAGAGAGATTTTTCCTTTTCATGTAAATAAGAAAGAGAAAGACTGAGAGCTAAAAAAGATCGACTGATAGAAAGGTTTCATGAGAAAAAAGAAAGGGAATGAAAAAAGGGGGAGGAAGGGAGAAAGAAGAGAGAGAAGGAATGGAAAAAATGAAAGAGAGAGAGAGAGAGAGAGAGAGAGAGAGGATAAAAAGAAAGATGAGAAATAGAAAGAGAATCTGACTGAGAGCCAAAAGAAATGAAAAGAAAGGTTTCAAGAGAGAATAAGGAGAAAATGAAAAAAGAAAGGTAGAAAAAAAGAGAAAAGAAGAGAAAAGAAGGAAGAAGAAAAAGAAAAAAGAGAGAGAGAGAGAGAGAGAGAGAGAAAGGATATTTTCAAAAGAAAGGAAAGAGGGAAAATAGAAAAGAGAAAAACTGAGAGCTAAAAAGATCGACCGAAAAGAAAGGTTTCAAGAAATAAGAAGGGAAAATGAAAAGAAAAGAAGGGAGAAAAAGAAAGAAGAGAAAAAAAAAAAAGAAAAAAGAGAGAGAGAGAGAGAGAGAGAGAGAGAGGATATTTTCTCCTTTTCAAAATAGAAAGAGAATCTGACTGAGAGCCAAAAGATCGACCGATAGAAAGGTTTCAAGAGATAATAAGGAGGGAAAAAGAGAGAAGGGAGGAAGGAGAAAGAAGAGAGAAAGGAAATGGACGTTAAAAAAAAGAGAGAGAGAGAGAGAGAGAAGAGAGAAGATATTTTCTCCTTTCATGAAAAATAGAAAAGAGAATCTGACTGAGAGAGAAAAAAAAAGATAAAAAGAGATAAGAAAGGTTTTCAAGAGATAAAGAGAGAGGAAGAAAAAAAGAAAAAGGGAAGAAGGAAGAGAAAGAAGAGAGAAGAGGAAAGGAGAAAATGAAAGAGAGAGAGAAAGAGAGAGAGAGAGAGAAAAAGGATTTTATTCCTTTCATGAAGAAAAGAAGAAAGAGAATCTGAAAGAGGAAAAAGAGAAAGAAAGAGAAAGAGAAAATGAGAAAATAAGGAAAGAAATGGATGAAAAAGAGAAAGAAGAAAAAGAGAGAGAAGGAAGAGAAAGAAAGAGAGAGAGAGAAGAGAGAGAGAGAGAGGAGAGAAAGAGAAAAGAAGAAAGAGAATCTGAAAGAGCTAAAAAGATCGAAGATAGAAAGGAAGAAAAGAGAGATAATAAGGAGGGAATGTGAAAAAAAAGGGAAGGAAGGGAGAAAGAAGAGAGAAAGGAATGGACGTTAAAAGAGAGAGAGAGAGAGAGAGAGAGAGAGAGAGAACAAGGAGAAAAAGAAGAGAAAATGTGGAAGAAAGAGAATTGACTGAGAGAAGAAAAAAGATTAAGACCGATAGAAAGGTTTCAAGAGATAATAAGGAGGGAAATGGAAAAGGGTAGAAGGGAGAAAGAAGAGAGAGAAGGAATGGACGTTAAAAAAGAGAGAGAGAGAGAGAGAGAGAAGAGAGAAGAGAAAGAAAGAGAAAGAAAAAAAGAAAGAGAATTGACTGAGAGCTAAAAAGATCGACCGATAGAAAAAGGAATGAGATAAGAAGGGAGGAGAAATGAAACAGAAGGGTAGGAAAGGAGAAAAGAGAGAGAAGGAATGACGAGAGAAAAGAGAGAGAGAGAGAGAGAGAGAGAGAAAGAGATTTTTTCCTTTTCATGGAAAGAGAAAGAGAATGGACTGAGAGAGAAAAAAAGATCGACCGATAGAAAGGTTTCAAGGAGAAAAAGGAGGAAAAGTATTGAAAGGTAGGAAGAGAGAAAAAGAAGAGAGAAAGAGAATGGAGGAAAGAAAGAGAGAGAGAGAGAGAGAGAGAGAGAGAGGATATTTTCTCTTTTCAAGAAAGAAAGAGAATTTGACTGAGAGCTAAAAAGAAGAGACTGAAGAGAAAGAGAAGAGATAATAAGGAGGAAAAGTAAGAAAGAAAAGGGAAAAAGAAAGAAAGAGAAAGAAGGAAAGAACGTTAAAAAAAAGAGAGAGAGAGAGAGAGAGAGGAGAGAGAGGAGAAAAAAAAGGAGAAAAAAAAGAGAAAGAGAAAAAGACTGAGAGCCAAAAAGATCGAAAGATAGAAAGGTTTTCAAGAGAGAATAAGGGAGGAAATGGGAAGAAGGAAAGGGAGAGAAGAAGAGAAGGAAATGGAGAAAGGAAAGAGAGAGAGAGAGAAAGAGAGAGAGAGAGAGAGAAAAGATATTTTTTCCTTTTCATGTAAATAGAAAGAGAATTGACTGAGAGCCAAAAAGATCGACCGATAGAAAGGTTTCAGAAAGATAAGAAGGGAAATGTAAAGAAAGGGTAGGAAGGAGAAAGAAGAGAGAGAAGGAATGGACGAAGAGAGAAAAGAGAGAGAGAGAGAGAGAGAGAGGATGGAGAAAAAATGTAAATAGAAAGAGAATCTGACTGAGAGCTAAAAGATATTGAAGAAAAGATAGAAAAGGGAGATGAGAAATAAAGAGAGAAGAGAAAAGGGAGAAAAGGAAAAGAAAGAAGAGAGAGAGAAGGAATGGAAGAGAAAAAGAGAAATGAAAGAGAAAGAGGAAAGGAAGCCAAAAAAGAGAGTTATTAAAGAAAAAAAGAGAGAGAGAGAGAGAGAGAGAGAGAGAGATATTTTCTCCTTTTCATGTAAATAGAAAAGAGAATCTGAAAAAGAGCTTAAAGAAAAAAGACCGATAGAAAGGTTTCAAGAGATAATAAGGAGGGAAATGTAAGAAAGAAGGGTAAGAAGGAGAAAGAAGAGAGAGAAGGAAATGGACGTTAGAAAGAGAGAGAGAGAGAGAGAGAGAGAGAGAGAGAGAGGTGATATTTTCTCCTTTTCATGTAAATAGAAAGAGAATCTGACTGAGAGCTAAAAAAGATCGACCGATAGAAAGGTTTCAGAAAGATAATAAGGAGGGAAAGGAAATGGAGAAGGGAGAGAAGAAGAGAGAGAAGGAGAGAGAAAAAGAGAGAGAGAGAGAGAGAAAGAGAGAGAAGAGATTTCCTTTTCAGAAATAGAAAGAGAATTGAAGAGAAAGAAAAAGAGACCTTTTCAAGGTTTCAATAAAAAAAGGAAAATGAAGAGAGAGAGAAAGAAAAGAAAAGAGAAAGAAAAAGAGAGAGAGAGAGAGAGAGAGAGAATAATATTTTCTCTTTTTCAAAAAAAGAAAGAGAAAGAAGAAGAGAAAAAAAGAAGAAAGAATAGAAAGGATGAGATAATAGGAAGGGAGGGAAGAAAAAAAGGGAGAGAAGAAAAGAAGAGAGAGAAGGAATGGACGTTAAAAAGAGAGAGAGAGAGAGAGAGAGAGAGGGAAGATTTTTTCTTTTCATGTAAATAGAAAGAGAATCTGACTGAGAGCCAAAAAAGATAAAGATAGAAAGGTTTCAAAGGAGAAAGAAGGGAGGAATGTAAAGAAGGGGAGGAAGGAGAAAGAAGAGAGAGAAAGGAATGACGTAAGAAAGAGAGAGAGAGAGAGAGGGAGAGAGAGGGTGGATATTTTCTCCTTTTCATGTAAATAGAAAGAGAATCTGACTGAGAGCTAAAAAGATCGACCGATAGAAAGGTTTCATGAGATAATAAGGGAGGGAAAAGTATTGAAGGGTAGGAAGGGAGAAAGAAGAGAGAGAAGGAATGGACGTTATAAAAGAGAGAGAGAGAGAGAGAGAGAGAGAGAGAAGATATTTTTTCCTTTTCATGTAAATAGAAAGAAAGAGAATCTGAGACTGAGAGCTAAAAAGATCGACCGATAGAAAGGTTTCAAACCAGATAAACAGGGAGGAGAATGAATTTTTTAGGAAAATAGAAAAAGAGAGAGAAGGAATGGACGTTATAAAAGAGAGAGAGAGAGAGAGAGAGAGAAGAGAGAGGAGAAAGAGAGATTTAAAAGAGAGAAAGAGAATCTGACTGAGAGCTAAAAAGATTTTCCGATAGAAAGAGGTTTTTAAAAGGAGAAATAAAAGAGAGGAAATGAGAGAGAAGAGAAAGAGAGGAAGGAAGAGAGAAAGAAGAGAGAGAAGAAATGAGACGTTATTTGAGAGAAAAGAGAGAGAGAGAGAGAGAGAGAGAGAGAGGATATTTTCTCCTTTTCATGAAAATAGAAAGAGAATCTGACTGAGAGCTAAAAAGAGACCGATAGAAAGGTTTCAAGAGAGAGAAGAAAGGAAGGGAAAGAAAGAGATTGAAGGGAGAGAAAAGGAGAAAGAAGAGAGAGAGGAATGGACGTTATAAAAGAGAGAGAGAGAGAGAGAGAGAGAGAGAGGATATTTTCCCTTTTCATGTAAATAGAAAGAGAATCTGACTGAGAGCTAAAAAAGATCGACCGATAGAAAGGTTTCATGAGATAATAAGGGAGGAAAAGTATTGAAGGGTAGGAAGGGAGAAAGAAGAGAGAAGGAATGGAAAGAGAAAAGAGAGAGAGAGAGAGAGAGAGAGAGAGAGGAAATATTTTCTCTTTTCAAAGAAAAATAGAAAGAGAATTTGACTGAGAGCCAAAAGAGAGAAACCGATAGAAAAGGTTTTCATGAGATAATAAGGAGGAGAATGTATTGAAGGGAGAAAGGAGAAAAGAAGAGAGAGAAGGAAATGGACGTTATAAAAGAGAGAGAGAGAGAGAGAGAGAGAGAGGGTGAGATATTTTCTCCTTTTCATGTAAATAGAAAGAGAATCTGACTGAGAGCTAAAAAGATGACCGATAGAAAGGTTTCAAGAGATAATAAGGGAGGGGAAATGTATTGAAGGAAGGAAGGAAGAGAGAAGAAGAGAGAAGGAATGGACGTTAAAAAAAGAGAAAGAGAGAGAGAGAGAGAGAGAGAGAGAGAGGATTTTTTTTTCAGAGAAAAGAAAGAGAATTCTGAGAGCTAAAAAGAAAAGAGAGAGAGAGAAAGAAGAGAAGATAAAAAGGAGAGAAAGAAAAGAAGGGTAGGAAAGGAGAAAGAAGAAGAGAGAGAAGAAAGGACAAGAGAAGAAAGAAGAGAGAGAGAGAGAGAGAGAGAGAGAAAAGATATTTTTTTCCTTTTCATGTAAAAAGAGAGAATCTGAACTGAGAGCTAAAGAAGAGATAGAAAGGTTTCATGAGAGAAGGGAGGGAATGTATTGAAGGGTTAGAAGGAGAAAGAGAGAGAGAAGGAATGGACGTTAAAAAAGAGAGAGAGAGAGAGAGAGAGAGAGAGATATTTTTTCCTTTTCATGTAAATAGAAAGAGAATCTGACTGAGAGCAAAAAAGATCGACCGATAGAAAGGT